AGGCCCGGGCAAACCCGAACCAGCTCACGGCCAAGGCAGGAAGCTCCCGGGTTTTCTTTTTTTGTGTTTTTTAGGGGTTGAGGGGTGTAGGGCTTGAGGGTTCAGGGGTTTAGGGATTTGGGGGGGGTTTGGGTGGTTTAGGGGTTAAGGGGAATTTAGGGTTTAGGGGTGTAAGGGGGTTTAGGGGGTTAAGGTGTTTAGGGGCTTTGGGGTTAATGTTTAGGGGGCAGCTGAAATCAAGCCCGAAAAGCCGAGAACCATCTTCGGAGCTCCAGGTGTCGGACGCGGGTGTCCGGTTTGAGCTTTGCCTCGACATTCGGGTTCAGCCTGTGTGGTTGTTTTCGTCCAGGTTTTAACGGCTATCTGCAGCGTCCCAAACCCGTGGTTTTGTAGGTGGCAGCCGTACTAGAACTTTCTCCTGGAGCTCTTACAGCTCTTGCTTGCAGTCAAAGCTTCAAACGCCAAGCCCCAAACTCAGACCCTGAATTCGTTGAACACCTCCAGCTTCCTTAAAGCTTCAACCCTAGGCCTTGTGATCAAACGCGCATGCTAAGATTGCAACAGAGAGCCGCAGAAAACCCTCGAAATCCCGAGCTCAAAGTCTGGGGCTCTAAAGCCCAGTACATTCTACCGCAGCCTGAAGCATTTTGTGGATTTTCCCCAGCTCACTGGGGTGCAAACTCTCCTTGGCATAATCTTAGTAGCCAGCGTTGAAGCGGCCATCCTGAAGTAGACGTTGGAAAGACAGAGAGAATTGGAACCAGTGCTCTACTTTCAAGTTTTGCCACATCCTGTCTATACTGAAGAGAGGAGACGGAGAGTTCAAGCCCGTGAAAGCCTTCAACGCTTCACCGAACCCCCATCTAGAAACTTCACCACAGCTTCTAGCCTAAGCAGCTCCCGGCAAGCCACGAACTTTGCTACCAAGCACCACGTAGAAATCAGAAACCCGAGAGTGCGCCTCAGGGCGCCTCGCCCTTGCACCTGGCGGCGCAGCTGGGGAAGCCGGAGCCGGTGAGTCTCCTGCTGGAGCTCGAGGTGCGGAGAATCCTGGGTCTTTGTTGGATACTATTTTACATTCTTGTCACAATAAAAGCCAATAAGGATTAAAAATGATCTTTTTTAATATAATCCCAACAGGGAACCAGAATCATTTTTGTTGTAATAAAAGCCAACAAGGATTAAACATGATTATTTTTAATATAGTCGCAATAGGGAGCCAGAAGCAGGGGGCTTTCGATTGGGAGTTTCAGTTTCGGGTCTGGGATTGTGTTGCAGCCTGATGTTTTTGCAGCCTGGTTGGTTTATTTAGGGGGTGTTCGTAGGGTTGTTGTATTTTCTGCGTGGAGGCTTCATGAGTCTCGCCATCGACCAAAATTCCTGGCACTCAGCCGAAGCTACAGGACTCAAAGTCTCGCGCCGTCAACTTCCAAACCCCAAAGCCGAGACACATCAACTCTTCCGAAGCTGGCAGCAGCCTGCTCTCAATGCATTAATCGACCCGGCAGCTTTGCACTGCCGTGGGGCCTGTCTCTGGCTAGCAATGTCTGTGTTTAAGGCACTCTAATGGGTCAGGGATCGATCCAAGGGAGCGGACTTCCGCTGTGCCGGTCTAGGATGTAAGAGGTCCAAACTGGGCAGCTGGATCACTCTGTTGCGGAACTCTTCTGGTCTCTCTGTGTCTCCTTGACTGTGAGCCCTAAATCCGAAATCACTGCGCCACACCGTGGAGCCACAAATTTCTGGGGCGCTAGGCCCATGACAGACCGCAGAAGATTCAACTATTCTTTAGGGCCCCTGTTTGCGACGATATAGACTCGATTATTAAGGCCGTTATAGTATAGAGACTTCTGGTAAACCTCATAGAACCCTTTTTAAAGGAGCCCTTAAGGGAACTCGATTGCTGCTTTTGGGCTTCGGGAACTTCGGGTGTTTGCGTGAGGCAGATCCGAACCTCGCATCGACTCAGGCGCGGTTTGGGTGCTCGGGGGCTTTGAGCTTTCTGCGGACTTAGTCTTCAGAGTTTGGGGTCTTTAGGACTTTAGGATTTGAGCGCTCAGGGCTTCGAGTCTAGGGCCTAGGGCTTAGGGCTTCGGGTGGAGCTTAGGGTTTCGGGCTTGGGGTTACGGCCATAAGCCTTAAACCCTAGAGGTGTACTTACAACTGTCCCCCGACCCTCCAAGCTATGGTTTCGGGTTGGTGGGGTGCGGTTCTGCCAGGCCCAGCTCTCAACTACTAGAGGGAAGTCAGTAAGCAGAGTCACAAGTAGCTCTTATTCAGGTCATAAGTAGGTATACGCATATTTGCCTCACTTGTAACCCGGAGTCCCTGATCCTCCAAGTGCACCTGCCCGTAGAAGCTGGCCCCTCAATGCAATCAAGTCCCAGACCCGAATCCAATGGCAAAGTCTACGTCTAACATCACGAGCCCTCCACCACATCGTACTCCTAACATCCCCAAATCTACCCAAGATTTTTTGAAACCTGCAGCCCCCCAGCCCAAGAGTCCAGCGCCTTCAGGGCCAGACGGCGCTGTCCCTGGCATCGAACAAGAAGGTCATAAGCATACTCCAGGAGGCTACGAAGCTCCAGCATTTGGGGTTTCACATCGGCAAGGGGTCTCGGTTTCAGGGTTTGGGTCTTGAGTGGTTTAGGGTCCAAGGGTTGGGTGTGAAGTGTTTAGGTTTCAGTGCGTTCAGGCTCTAGGCTCTTAAGGCTCGCAGCTTGAACCCCAAGAGTTTCTTCTTGGGGATCAGGCTTTGGAGTTCTTTGGTGGTTGGAGGCTTCCTGACCTGTGGGCTTGAAGATGCAAGGTCTCGTGCCCAAGCGCTTTAGGCTTTAGTGTCTTCAATCCGAATCCGCATTAGTTGGGATTTGTTGTCGAGAATTGCAGTCCGGAGAAGCTCAAGCTTGCTCTAGTGACATAGGCCTTTCATTCGCAATATCATGCAGACGCAAATGCGACACCCAAAACGAAGATCTTGAACTCCTGATCCGACAACGCAGAAGCTCAATATTTCAGTTGAAATCCAAAGCTTTCTTTTTGGGTTTGGTGACCTCCTTTGGTGGGTACCTTTGAGGCCCCTGTCAGCCAAGCAGATCAGCTTAGGTAGCTTGCCGCACGATGTTGTGTTGACTGCAGCCGACATCGAAGATGCAGCATCCATCCTGGAGACGATGGCTTCGTCGTGGTGGGCTGATACACTGCCCTTGTGCGAATCTTTCTCGCTTCACCTTCGGAGCTGCTTTGACGGAATCGACTCCACCGGCTTGGTGGCTGAAGGGCCGGCCCCGGAACGTCTTTCAGAGTAAGGCTGAGGTAGAGCTCCTCTCCCAGCTGGCCGTGCTGCTCATGCCGGATGAGCCCATTGCCGAGGCTTTCCGCGACTTTCCGGTTCAGAGGTGCCAAGAGTGGGGTTCCAGCAGATTGTGCCCAGATCTCGCGGCGCACGGTGTGCTGAAAACACCTGGTGCGGCTCTGTTCATCGAGTACGATGGCTATTATCGTCACATGGAGCCATTGGGCCTGACCAGGGACGTGCGCAAAACAAGTGCGCTGCTGAAGTTCGCCCCTGTGGGATCTATCGTACTACGCATCGCGCACAAGGAGCGGCAGTGGAAGGACAACTCCGTGCAAGTATTGGTGGACGGTTGGCAGTCCGAGCACGTGCCCTCGCTTCGCAAAACGGTGAGGCAAGTTGTAGCTTCTTTGCTGCAGTCTTGTCGCGCCGAGCTGGTGCCCGGGCTTGTTTCACGGCTGGAGGCACGTGCCCCGCCGCAAATCGACAGGCATGCAAAAACCTTTGCAGTGGACGCAGAGTTGGTGGGCAATGCGTCTAGCAGCAGCAAAAGGCTAGCAGTTCAAGAGTTTCTTCAGACTGAGATGCAACTGACAACAGTCCAGGTCGCCAAGTCGATTGCTAGGTTTCCTTCAGTGCTTGGCTGCAGCATTGAGGCGAATCTAAAGCCGAAGGTCCAATGGATCAAGGGGCTAGGCTTGAGCCAGTCGCAGGTTGTCAAGGTGATCGCGAGATTTCCTGCACTGCTTGGTTACAGCATTGAGGCAAACCTGAAGCCAACCGTGGACTGGATCAAGGGGTTGGGCCTGAGCCAGTCGCAGGTTGCCAAGGTGATCTCGAGCCATCCCCCAGTGCTTGGCTTGAGCATTGAGGCGAATCTAATGCCAACAGTCGGATGGATCAAAGGGTTGGGCCTGAG